GAGAGAGAGAGAGAGAGAGAGAGAGAGAGAGAGAGAGAGAGAGAGAGGCAAAGAGCAGCCCTCTCCTCCAGCCCGTCTCGGGGGCGACAGGTTGCCAGACGCCGCAGAGTCCCGCAAAGGGGGGTGACACGGGCAAGGGGGACCCGCACGCCGGATGTGAGGTTCGGGGACGGGGATGAGGATGTGGTGGGGGGCGGAGGCCGCCCCCGGCTCGGCCGACGGGGACGGGGTCCTGGCCCAGCCCGGGAGGGGGGAGGGGGGCTCCGGCCGCGTCGGGCGTCCCGGGCCGGGAGGCGCGGGCCGCGTCCCCTTCCGTCCTCGGCGGCCGGCGGCCCGGGGCGCGGGGACCACCTGCGAGGGCCGCGGAGATTGGCGGAGGCGGTCATGTGGGCGGTCACGTGCCGCGGCCGGCTCCGTCCAAAAGAAAATGGGGTTTGGTGTAAATCTGGGGGTGTAATGTTCTCATATATCACGCTACCTCGTAAAACCGACACCGAAGGCTGCCGGACAACAAATCACAGGTCAAAATTATGAGTTCCTCGTACTATGTGAACGCGCTCTTTAGCAAGTACACGGCGGGGGCCTCCCTCTTCCAAAATGCCGAGCCCACCTCTTGCTCCTTTGCACCCAACTCGCAGAGGAGCGGCTACGGGCCGGGCGCCGGCGCCTTCGCCTCCGCCGTGCCGGGCCTCTACAACGTCAACAGCCCCCTGTACCAGGGCCCCTTCGCGGCCGGCTACGGCCTGGGCGCCGCCGCCGACGCCTACAACCTGCCCTGCGCCTCCTACGACCAGAACATCCCCGGGCTCTGCGGGGACCTCGCCAAAGGCGCCTGCGACAAGGCGGACGAGGGCTCGCTGCCCGGCCCGGCCGAGGCCACCTTCCGCATCTACCCCTGGATGCGCAGCTCAGGTAGGGCGGAGGGGCCCTCGGTGGGGGGGAGGGGAGGAGGGGGTCGGCGCGTGGGAGGAGAGGGGGCGCGGGGAGGCCGGCGGAGCCCCCCAGCCTGGCCGCTCCCCGGCCCGGGCGGACCCCGCGAGTCCCGGTGGCGCTGGCTTTCTGCTTTTAATTAGAGCCGGGGCGCCATGGCGTGGAGGGAGCCCTGGCATTGTATGTAAATGAGGCTCGTAAAAGTTTTTATGGCCCAATTAATGGGTTCGAGCCTCGTAAATTTATTTAACTCCGTTTGCCTGGGAATTTTTACCATAAGTTTCTCCGCTCTTCTCATTCTCATATTTCTCTCTCTCTCTCTCTCTCTCTCTCTCTCCTCTCTCTCTCTCTCTCTCTTTCTCCCCCCTCCCCTTCTCCCTCTCTTTTGCTCTCCCTCAGCCTCTCTCCTTCCATCCCCCTCTCTCCTGTCCTCCCTTCCTTTCTTGACTCCAGCTCCCTCCCCCCCCCCGTCCTTTTCTTTCGGCCTGGCTTTCTTTCTCAAAGGCAAGGAGAGCCAAGACCTCTGGGGGTCCCTCACCCACCCCCTGTAACCAGAGCCCATTTCCAGACCCGGTCTAGAGCGAAGAGCCAGAGGGAGGGAAGGCCACGGAGGACGGTCGCCCACTCGTCTAGCGAGGCCGGGGAGCGGCCAGGCTGGCCTTTGAATGGCCAAAGTGCGGAGTCTCCCACTTGCCACACTCTGTATTTACCATTTCCCTTTGTCAGGGGGAAGCGGGACATTGTGGAAACGTAGCCGGCTGGAAAGGCCTGTTGTAAAGTTGGAATTCTGCTCCGAGGCTTTTCACAGACGTGCCGGCTTGTCTGGCACCGGGCTCTTCCGCTCACACTTCTCCGCCAGCTTAATTGAGGGTGATGGGTTGCGCCTGGGTTGGGGCTGGGTGGAAGGCACAGGCTCTTGGACAGTGGGCCTGACTAAGTGCTCCCTTCTGTCCGCATCCCAGTCTGCTTGTCTGTTTGTCTATACGTCCAACTTTGTGCTCTCAGGACCCGATAGGAAGCGGGGCCGCCAGACCTACACGCGCTACCAGACGCTGGAGCTGGAGAAGGAGTTTCACTTCAACCGCTACCTGACCCGGCGGCGCCGCATCGAGATCGCCCACGCGCTCTGCCTCACCGAGCGCCAGATCAAGATCTGGTTCCAGAACCGGCGCATGAAGTGGAAGAAAGAGCATAAAGATGAGAGCCAGGCTCCCACTGCGGCCCCCGAGGAGGCCATGCCCTCCGTCCCCAGGGCTGCTGACAAGGCCGAGGACGAGGAGGAGGAGGAAGAGGAGGAGGAAGAGGAGGAGGAAGAGGAATAAAGGGCCAGGCACAGGGCCCTGGCTGCACAGGACAGTCGGAAAAGCGTCTTTAAGAGACTCATTGATTTTATTTCCAAAAAAAAGGGGGGGTGGGGGGTAAAGTGAAAAAAATAAAGTGAGAGAAAGAAAAAAAAAGAGGGAATCAGTCCCAACCCTCGTCACCCCCACTCCAGCACCCACTCTAGCGTGCAGAGAAATTAGGTCGCCTCGGGGACCCTCTCTGTCTCTGGAGACCCCAGGAGATCCCCCCAACCCTGGTCAGTGTTGTGCGCTGGCCCAGAAAAAAAAATACTACCTAGCACAGGCCTCCTCGGGGGAGGCACCCCCAAACTACCTATGGGCCCAGCCCCAGTGGCCACCACTCCTTAAACAGACCACATCCCAACACTGGCAGACACCCAGCACCTGCCCCTCCTACCTGCGAAAACTACCTACTAACCCTAAACTACCTATTCATGCTGGCTAGCTTGCCTGCTCCTTGATGCCCACCCATCCCAGACCAGGCCTTGATGCTTCTAGCTAACAGTCTTTGGGGTCCCTGAGGCTTCACTGACAAGGCAATGAGGTTCAGGGACCAGGGCATTTGCTTCTATTTAAATGGAAAAAAATAATATATTTATTCCAAAGCACACCAAGTGCTGTAACCTAGACTCTCTCTTTCTCTGGCTTTGGCACCTTAAGTTGAGGGCCGTTCCCCCCACTTCAGGAGGGGAGCGTTCCCGAGCTGCCTGTAGGCCCCTGGAATGGAGAGCTTCGGTTTTGTGGGACGAAGGAGATGTCCCCAGCTTCACTGTCCTCCTCTTTGCTTCCGTGTCCAGCTGTTCAGCCATGTCGAATATGTGTAGCCTGACTTTTCCTACCAGGACAAATACTGTATATTTGAACCCGATTCTTTTTCCGTCATTTCTCTAATCTTGGAGCTCATTTGTAAAGGAATGTCTTGACTTGGGGAAAATGTTTTCATGGGGTGACTTTGTAGCATGGTGTGCTGTCTTGAAGCAATTCTGTAGGGGGTGGGTGAGGGTCCCATGCCCACCCCAGCCCCCATGTTGTCCCATGTTCCCCTTAGACCCAGACCCCGTCCCAGCCCAGTTACCTGTGTTTTCTGTAACAATAAAGATGCTTGGTGACAAAGAAACATGGACTGTTTTATCCAGAGGCTCTAGGGCAAGGGGAGGTGGCCAGAGCTGAAGGACAAGCCCTTGCTGTAGGCCAAAGGAACAAGGGAAGCAAACATGGAGAGATTGCCTTTGAGTCTGAGTTTTCAATGTTCACGTATAAATGGTTTTTTTCATATTTTATGTGTAGACTTGCACAAATTAGTGTGTTTCCATTTCTGTGTGTGGTTGCTTAAAATTCTCACAATTGTGTGCATTTCAGCATCCATAGTGTGTGTGTGTGTGTGTGTGTGTGTGCTGTGTGTCAACCCTTTCCATGTGTGTAATTAGGTGTGCAGGTTTCTGTGTCCACGACTGTGCGTTTTTCTGTGTCTATGCGTGCAGTTCTCCGTGTCTGTAGTTGTAGATGTGTCTTCCTCTTTGTACATGTTCTCTGTCTGGCTATTGTATGTGCACCAATATCTAGACCCACCGTTTAGATCCACTGAAAACAGGCTGTTTGTTCATACGGTGTATTCCGTCTATGGCCTCCCGAACTTCCCTAAATCCCGGGAACGAATTTCAAATTCAGCTTTCCTCTAAAGGTGTAGACTGAGCTCAAAAAGGGCTACCTACCCTCCAACTGATTCCGGACTCCACATGCGCCCTGAGTTCAGCCCCAGGGTAGAAAATGGGGTTCAGAGTCCCTGCCGAAGCACCCTCAGCTCGCCTTCAGTAGAGGCGAGGATGCCCCTGGGTCCTCAGACCAGGCTGTGCAACCCAGTGGAGTCCTTTTGCTAAGGGAGGACTCTGGCTGGGGAAGGGGCGGCGAGGAACCAGGGGCGAGAGGCGTGGAAGTAGCTAAGGGCGTCCCGAGCTCGGCCCGCGGAGATGTCCATTCTTATCTCTCGGCTGGGGTGGGCCAGCTTCTTAGGACTCCTTTTTTTTTTTTTAATAAAATCGGACCTAAAAGTGTCGGTAAAGCCTGCAACCCCAAATCAGGCCAGCCTCGGTGGTAAGATGGCGCCGGTGTAAGAGCTGCCTCCTCTCAGTGATGGGGAGAGGGTCATAAATCCGTTGTTGTTTATGAAAATTTACAACTTTGCAATACAACTTTATGAGTTGTTCGGCCCTTCCATTGGCCGCTGTCGGTCATGTGGATAGGAGCCGTGAACATGAACTTTTTTATAATTTCCCTTGCGAGAATAGAGCCGCATTCTTTCGCTCTGCTCCGTCCTGCGTGCTTCGGAGCTCTGCCTTCCCAGCCAGCCCGGGCTGCGCTTTGTCCGGCGATGGCGAGAGAGGGGAAGCGGCTGCCAGGCCCAGGCCGGCCGCTGTCGCTGGAGGTGGGGCTCGGCCAGTTCCTGGCTCGGCAGCCGGCTCTTTGCAACTCACAACCTGGCTAATTTCCTGCGTCCTCTGGCACCAGGAAGGAGGACAATTCGTCTCTTGGGCTGCCGGAGCGACAGCTGTCAGGGAGGCAGGAGCTTCTGGGAGCCGCGGTCTAAAGGTGAGACAAGTGGGAACGAGACAGGGCAGAGGTGGGTGAGGCACCGCGGTGCTGAGAGAGGGCACCCTGAGCGACTCTGAAAAGGGCCGTTTCTCATCCTCAGCGGCACCGTGCCTTCACACTCAGTCTCCACACACACCGCAGCGCAAACACGTCACTCAGTCTCGCCCACGACAGCCACCACCTACATCACTCTCCTCCCGCCCGGCCGATCAGCCTCCCCTCGGTGGCACAGCGCCCTGCCCTCCTTGGGTCTTCATGCCCCCTTCCCCGGTGACTCCGGGAAGCCCCAAGAGGAAGTCATCTGGCATTCTCCTGTTCCCTATCAGCCTGGGGGGGGGGGAAGAGTCGGATTATTTCATGCGTGACCCAGTTGATCCAACTGACCTTCCCAGATAACCAGGGGTGGTTTCCGACCTGGGAAGTGTGGGCTGAGGAGAGAGAAAAGCGAGCTAACAGCATAGTCGGTTTGTTAGCTGTGTTCTCTCCTGTGGGGCCGGCCTCAGAGGAGGCTGTAGGGGAAACGAGCAAAGGCAAACGCAGAACTTACTAATTCGGAGTTCTCCCGTGGTTGTCTGCCTTGTCTGCCTGGTTTTGCGACCAGAGTGGTGTCTGGAGCCCCGGGAAAGGGGCGAGGTGCACGTGCGGAATTCTGTGTTGGAGGAGAGAATCGAGTTAATCGGGTGCTGCTAGGAGATGCTTCGGTGTAGGGGACTGCTGTTTTGGCGCCGGTGGGAGGGAGGAGCACGGCTCGGGTCTCTGAAGGAAGGTGTCTGGGCAAGGGCAGGGCCGCAGCCACAGCCCACCTAAGCCCAGTGGCAGGCTGATGTCCAAGGTCCCCCACCTCCCGGGCCGCCAGGGAGAGGACTAGAGCTAGCCGCGAGGCGGCCCTGAGCGGGGTTGGCCTGGCGGGCGGTGGCTTCGCCTTGTACCAGCCGCGGTAGGTGGGCCTGAAGGCCCATCTGACAGGGTTAGATTTCACCCCCTGAGACAGAGCCACTCGGAAAAAATCAGTAGCGAGGTTCTGGGCTGCAGCTCTTTTTTTGTTTGTTTGTTTGTTTGGTTGGTTGGTTGGTTTTTGGTTGTTGTTGTTGTTTTCCTGTCTCAAGATACTGTCGCGGGGAAGGAAAGACAATTGCGAGGGACACGTAGGTGTCTGGGACGCTCGCGGAACACTGCTGTGATTGAGCCCCGGGCAGGGGCAGATAAAGCGCCGCGTACGCCTCCCAGGGCCGCTGGCTGCCTGGCTGCGGCGGCTGCAGGCGGATTATTTATTGCGGCCGAGCCGAGCTCGCTGCTGCCACGCTGTGGCCGTCGCCGGGACCGGCGCCAGCAGCGGCCCGCCTCTTTGAGCTTGGCGCGACTGCTGCACGGGCCCCTCGGATCCCCCAGAAGCAGGGGAAGGGGGGCACAGAAGGGGACCCGAGGGGCAGTCTCCCAGGGTCTATTTGGCGGTGAAACCTCCTTGCTTCGGCTACCCATGACAGAAACCTCAGCCGCCGGAATGGACTCGGGTCCTTCCCTCGCCCCAACACCAGCACCATGGAGACTGGCATACAGGCCGCCTGGCCGGTCACGGCGGCTTCTGTCCAAACTGCGAGTCCCAAAGGCGTCTTGGGGGCTCACGCCAGTTGGGGAACGCGTTGGCTTTGGGATTGTGACAGCGGAGAGACCTATCCGTAGCTCTGAGGCCTGCTGGCCTGGCTGGCCCTCAGGATTGGCTTTGGCATGGAAGGCGGCTCCAGCGGAGGGCCTGTAACTGGCACAGGCCACACCTGTGTGCTCTGGGTTAGGGATAGAGACTTGGCCGGAGAGCGGTGGACCTGCGGGGTCTGCCCTCACACCCGCAGACCAGGCTCCAGGCTGGCAGAAGCGGAGAAGCTTAATGGGCAGCCCAGGGCAAGGGCGATCTGTATGACCCTACTGCCATCTTACCCCTTTTGAAGAGACGGTAAAAGGTGAGTGTTCTGTGTGGCGCTGACCTCGCAGAGAGTCCTGGGGTGACCATTCTCTTCATTTCAGGAGCGGTTCCATTGAGGGTGTGGAGTTCCTGTTTCTCTCTCTCTCTCTCTCTCTATGTATATATATTTATCATGTATATATGAATAAGTAGATCGGCTGCCAGGTTAAATGAGCACTAGCCTTGGCTTACACATAAAGGTTTCAATTTAATATTTTCTCACCTTAATGTTTACAGAAACCAGAAATACATGTTCTGGCTCCTAGCTGAGAAAACAAATTCTCTTATTGGCTGAGACAATTAAATCTAAAATTCAGATCAAAGGATAATGGTGCTGAACCGTCACCACCCCAACTCTGGGACATGGAAGCAGGAAAGAGAAGTATTAATGTAAACAATTAACCCCTGCGAAATGGCTATTTTCACCTCAAAT